CGTAGTTCCAGTGTTGCACCTCGAGTCAATGCTGGGGCCAGGTTTGCGGCCAAAAACAAGAATCAAAAAACACAGAAGGTATTGGCCTTTGACAGTGGACGAACTGTCCACTGGTTTAGTCTCAAAAAGAAGTCTACCAAAATAGATACTTAAAAAAAACCTGCACGTTTTGGGTTCCCAAAATAGGAGTGAACCCACATCCTGGCGACGGAAGTCTTGAGAGTCAGAGTGCATCTGACAATGGAAAGAAATGGAAGGAATCCAAAACAACATGTTCCGGTGTGTGTAATCTGCGGACTGTCCCTGAAACTTGTGCGTTGTACCTCCCCTTACCTGACCGTTGGTGGCCTGCGGTGCTTCTTCAAATTCCGCTTCAACTCCATTGTTCAGCTCTTGAGACTGTCCTTCTTTCGTCTCCTGCGAGAAAATGTCTTTCTGTCGGGAGCCAGGTTTGCAGAGATTCTGGGAGCGTTTTCAACAAGAAATCAGGAATACCTGCAAGCGTGAAAACGAAACTATTCTGCGAGACGTCCTCGGGTTTTGAACTTGACAACAGAACATCAAAAACGGAGCAAGTCTATGAAACTTGGTCAATGTTTGAACTTGACAACGTCAAAAACGAAATAATTCTGCGGGAGTTCTTTATTTTTTGAACTTGACAACCTCCAAAACGAAGCAAGTGTGCGAGACTTCTTCAATTTTGACTTAACAACACCAAAAACGAAGCAATTCGGCGAGACGTCCTGCAAAGACGGAAAGGTGAGTGCAGCGCTGACGGCCTCGTACCAATGCGTGTTGCGATTTTTCCACTCCACCTGTCTAAAGCATTGCGCCTGCCAGGAAAAAGTGATGCCAGGTCATACGAAGTGCTGCACCTGTCACGCAAAATCATCTTAGCAAACCTACAGATCCGGTGCTCCAAAATGCAACCCCTCTCAGGAAATCAGCACCCTGACCTCCTAACATCTCTGATGAACATGTCTTTTGTACTGCGATGTACTGCGCCTGCCACGCGATATGCATCTTTGCAGATCCTCTTCAAATGTCCCACGCCTGCCATCGTTTGTGGAAATGCGACAGAATCCTCACGTTCGCTCACTTTTGACAAGGTGCACAATCCCTTGCGCCTGCCACGCGAAACGAGTCCGAACCCCTGGTGCTTTGTACATTTTGACTTCGAAATGTGCTTCGCGCCACAACGGCCTGCACTTTTTCGACATCTCAACTTCCAAAACTGGTCCGGAGCGGGTGTGCTTTGTACATTTTGACTTTGACATGTGCTTCGCGCCACAATGGCGTGCACTTTTTCTACATCTCAACTTCCAAAAGTGCCCCGAACGTGAGGTGCTGTAGCTTTTTCACTTGCAAATGTGCTTCGCCCCACGACGGCGTGCACTTTTTCATCTCTCATCTGGCCAGATGGCTCCGCACCCGCCGCTTTAGCGAGCCTACTTTTCGACCCTCCGGAGCCATAAATCATTGGAAAAACAGAGTGTTTCGCGACTTTCCTACCTTTTCGCGCACCATGATCTTCTTTCTTCTGAGACTTTCTCTTCTCTGATCTTCTCTCTTCTACTCTTCTCTTCTCTGACTCTGCCCATCTCTGCTTTTCATCTGTCCATATTGTCGGAAGTTTGACTTCTAAACTTCCTCCGATTATCATCATATACATACGTCCTGATCAGAAGAAGAACAACATATTTTTGTGATACATAACAGTTTGAAAACAGTTTGGAAGGACGGTTGTTGTGGTTCATTCCGTTTAAAACAAGTTCTGAGGAAAAGCAAAGGTAGAACGGTGTTTATAAAACCCAATACATCATAGTACATCTACCAAACATGGTGGGATGGCTTGATCTTCATCAGTATTCATCAGTATTGTCTAGTATTATACTATGAGCCCAAATCCCCCTAGCCTGCACTTGCAACATCGGTGAAAATGCTGGAGGTGACCCCCAAAAAGCACAAAACCTGTGGGAATCCAATCCATCACACGGCCGGCACCAAGAAACATAGCTGGTGCCCATGAAGACTTGCGAGACTATGGCCACTGGCAACCATGGACTCATCATCCCAAGGTTCCAAATGATCCAAGTCAATATGATGAAGCTAAGGTTGTAGGGTTTACTGAAGAAGTAGTGCAAGCGTCGCTTGCAAGTGCCCAGATCATCTGGATCATAGTCTGTGTTGAAGAAAACAGGGATCACCTGCATTGAAATCGCGGCCATGACGTCGCCAGCTGTCTGGGCCATACTGGCAAGACTTGCCTCAGTGCTAGCCCTAAAAATTCACTAACCCCGCTGTTTTATTTGAGGTACCGAAGTACCATTTTAGTAGCAAATCATCACTTTTTTGCTACCCCCCTAATGGATCACTTAATCAACCAGGGTTTTTTCCGGTGACATAGTCACTGCTGTCCAGCGGCGTCGGTCCAATTGTGGACCTGCTTGAAGTAGATGGCAAACGTGGCAAACTCGATGACGTAGGAGCCCGTGTTGAG